TGAAACTGATGAAAAATGCCACAGAAGGGTGCAAAGTTTTATTAGTCTTTCAAGGTCTGATCAGAAGGCCACCGAAGGAGAAAAAAAGACATTTCTAATTACTCTAGTGGACTTTGAGTTGGACTTTTTAGTCAGCCTTCACTCAGTGAACTGCATGCATTTGTCATTTCCTTTGCTCCGTTTCAATGTCATTGCCTGCTTGCAGCAGAGCACTCCTGGGGAAAGTAGTATGCCAACCAGCAAGAACTGTTTTCTTTTACTACCTATTGAAATTATTTTTTAACTCAACATTTATTTTAAATTACATTTTTAAATGGCACTGAAAAATTCTGAAGGTGATCACAAGGTTGATAGGTGTAACAGAGTAAAAAAACTCAACCCTAAACAAGCGTATGCTGCAGATATTTACAACCTAAGAGGCACCTGCTGTCATTCTGAGCTTCTTCCACAGCAAAGAGTTAAAGCTTCTGGAGACTGGTGGGTTTCTTGTTGTGCCATCTGAAGACAGGAGAGGAAAGGAAACAACCCAGTCACAGCCAGTTAGCCACAGCAGATCGAGTTCTCAGAGCACATCTGCAAATTAAGCAGATAGAATCCCCTCCATCAGGCTGTCACTGCATGCCACGAGCCCCCTGGGCTGTCACAGAAGATTCCTCACACTGCTCACATTTGAATCCCAATTACACAGAAAGATTACGGAGGACGCAAAAAACTGCTAGCAGCCAGGTACGTCTGAATTACTGCTTTGCTCAAAGCAAACTTGGTTGGTACACTTAGAAAATGTTTTGAGAAATGCTATATAAAAAATTTCCTTCCTTAAGCTTCTTTATGGAGGACTTCAAACTTCTGTGCGTGTCTGGATATGATTTTGATTGTGGACAATTTGGAAACAGCACTTGCTTTTCAGGGGTACGCTTTTCCATTTTGGAAATGAAAAAACAGATCTATCAAAGGGAAGAACCACAACACTGCAAAATCAATTTAATTCTATACTAGGTACCTGTGTTCTCATCAAAATAACTGCAAACTTATTAATGGTCAGCAATGGGTGTTTACCAGCTAAGACTCCATTATATCCTGCATTTCATTCTCTCAGTGTCCAATCAGTACAGCTCAAACATCTTATTTTTGTATAAATGAAAAAAGGTTCTTTGTGTTTGCTACAGTTCATAAGATCAACTCATTAGTCATTCATTATTTTGCAGCATTCAAATTACTGTGAAATTACTATAAATAATACTTTCAATGCTGAAAAATATGAGATGTCACACTAAACAGTAGCACTGATTAGTCATTGTTCTCCTGATTAGAATGTTTTTGTTGCCTAACTAACAGGTAACAGGCAAAGCCCTTAGGTGAACAAACCATTTCTGGGTAGGGTCAAAGAGGACAGTAACTAATAAACACAGTCTGTGAGTGACTCAGTGCCTAAACACGGTCATCTAGAGACATTTCATAAACCCTAGATTTACCAGGATCTAGGACACAGAACAATGGCAGACTTGCTTCCATAGGAGAAGGCTGAAGACAAGGAAGACTATCCAAAGGTATATGAAATGTCAGCTGCTGTTTAGGTAACTCATGCTACCACTTGCCTCTAAAAGATGTTCCTCCTGTACTTCTCTGTGAGCACCTAATAGGGTTTCTGAAATGGTACATCACCCAAAATTGTAACTATGTCCATCTATTTCCACAGTAAGCACATTTCAAACTACATTAGCTACTGTTTTTAAAAAACACCTTCTGTCTTCATCTGATCCTTCTATAAATGTATTTCCCAATGCATCCATCAACATCTGAATTCCTTATGATCTCTTCTTGCCATATAAACAACTCTTATCTGAAAAGTCTGCTCAAAATACTGTTTGATTTTAAAATACACAGGGAGAATATTAGTTTTTCTCTTTCTGTTCACTTAGTTTCTAGCTCGGGTGTCTACTGCTTCCCAAATAGGGGGCTTATAAAAGTAATGCTGATATTCTCATTTATTTGTATAATCCTTAGAGCTTAACCTTCTATAAAAACACCAAATATGATGAAGTATGACTCAAGTCATCATAACTGGCAATTGTTTATGTAACTCCCCCTCCTTTCTTATTTGTCTCTACTCCTTGTAGTGTTTCTCTCTCAGTATCCTGTGTTGGACCACAACAAAGCATTTGTCTGTTTATCTCTGCACCAGCTGTAATGCTAATCCAACTTCAGTTTTGAGCATAAAGCCACAAAAAAGCACTTTAAACTCTTTGTTTATAAGGTTAGATCTTTTGGGTTCCCCAAAGCTGTTCAGGGTTAGATGAGCCATGGCCCAAAGGAATCAGTGGTATTGGTAGGTTAGAGTTGGAGGTCAGCATAGCCAGAGAGCAACCACACTGTATTGACACACTGTAATTAGCAGGAAAACACATGGAAAACCAGAGCAATTCCAGGCAGTGTCTAAGAGCTACTTCTGTCCAAAAATCTCAGATAAACCTTCCTTCTATTACCTACTGAACTGTTTGCTCATGTAAAGTTCAAGAAATATGAGAGACAAGGAAATGTGTTGAAGTGTTCTTAACCAGTATGTTCTGTATGTCTATCAATCAAATAATTTTCACTGATCTTTTCTCCACTCTGTATCTGCAGACTCTTTAGACAGAGAACTCTTCAGAAGTGAGTGCTGCTCAATATCTGGGAAATAGTTTGTGACATTGTGGACACTAACAGTTGCCCTACATGGAGATTCTTAAAAGTATATGTAAAAATGTAATATGTGTATCAATATGTCAATTAAATTGTTGGCCACTTTTGATACTCTCGTTAGACTTCAAATATAAACCAGCAGTCAAATGTAGAACAGGAGAGGTAGAAGATAAAGAAGTCTAATTTTCTCATATAGAACAGAAATTTTCTTATGGCATCTTCAGTATGGAAGACATTTTACTTTTCTAAAGATCCTGTAAAACCAAAGAAGCTAAGTAACCAGACAGTAAGGAAGAAGAGATAAATGACATCTAATCAAGTAAACCTAGCTTAGTGCAAGCTCCTCTGATGATGCCATTTTTGAATGCTTGCAAGAAACAAGCAGCAGATTCCTATTTAGCATATCACCTAAAGGTAAATAAATTCATAAGTCTTTCTTTATGCATAATAAGGACACAACCTGCTGTGTATACCGACATGCTCAGAAAAGGGTTCACTAATTTAATTAACTTATAACCGAACCTCACCCACAGTGCAGTACTTCTGAAAAGAAATCTAAATGTAGAAAAAACTAGCACCTTCAGGGCAGAGGCATTAGGCTATACAGTGAACAGAACTCAACCATGATCTCTGGACGATTCCACAAGGTAAGACAGCCATTCCACTGATTGTTTTTCAAACAGACTCGGGAATGGCTATGCCTACCCTGTCTGTGTGCTCTGGCCTGAAAACACCTCACCCTTGAAGAACATTCCATGGTAGGTCCCTATTTTAGCACAGCAGTTCCCATACCAGGGAATGCAGGCAGGCAGTGCAGCAATATGGTACGACATGGCAATTGATGCAGTGTCATCAGTTCCTGTGTTTTTACAGCAACTCTTCTTCTACACAACGTTGTTCAGATCCCCCCAGGTTTTGATGTCACGTAACTAGAAGATATCAATCCTTCCTTAAAAAAGAAACCCTATGTGTCCTGTTTTTATTGTCACAGAAAAATGAAAAGCAACAAGGAAAATACAAATCCCAAAACTTTCAAAAAAAAGAGGAATTACATTTTTAAATGTAAGATTTAGTGGGAGATTTTTCTAATATTTTGCTCACATCCGTAAATTCTGGGGATTTGGAAAAGATTGGGACAGAGAACTTGAACATTTACTAAAGAGCATCAGTCTGCTGCCACCAAAGGACACTGCCAATGAATCGGCCAGTTATTTCCTTCCCTGGTGTGTGCTCTCCAAAGCTCTTTCACAGTCAATATCCAGGCTGATTACATAAACTCCTTTCAGTCTTCAAACAAACAGGTTTATGAGAGCAAGAGACACCCCTTGAAGCCCACTCATGAAAGCCTGAGCACAGCGCACCGATGACAGGCAGAGGATTCGCGCCCCCCGAAGCCCCAGCGGGACTCGCAATGCCGAGACCCCGACCGGGCAGCTCAGCACAAGCTGAGATTCACCTCGGCCCTGCCGCCCCAGCCAGCCCTGCATGGCTGCACACACAGCGGGCACCTCCCCTTCTAAATGCAATCAACAAATCCTGACGTTTTCCTCGTAAACAAAACATGCAGTCTCAAGTTTCCGTGCACGCCGCTCCTCCAGCCCGCTGGCTGCGGGGCCTGGGGCAGGCTCCCGGCCCGGAGCCTCCTGCCGCCCCGGGGGAGCCCGAGCCCCGCCGGACGAGGCTCCCGCACTGGGGGGCCCGGAGCTGCGGCTGCCGGGAGGCTCCAGCCCGGCATCCCCGGCCGCCTCGGGCAGGAAATCCCGGCTTGCGGCATCTCCGGCGCCGCTCCCTCCGCCCCGGGCGTGCCCGGGCCGGGCCCCGCCGGCAGCACACCGGCCCGGCCCCGCGGCCGCACTCACCGCCGCCCGCTCGCTGAGCCCGCCGGTCCTGATTCCCCACGGCCGCGACAAGGAAGCGGCGGCCGGGCCGGGCCGGGCCGGACACCCGGCGGGAACTACCGGCCCGGGCACCGAGCGGGAACTACCGGCCCCAGCAGCCCGCGGGCCCGCGTTCCCCTGGGAGCGGCCGCGCCCGCCCCGGGAAGCCGCCCCAGCGCAGCGCCGTGTGCGGGCTCCGTGTGCCGACAGCCCGTGTTGAGCACAAAATCCCCAAAATACCGCGGAAATGGTGCACGCCTCGTGCTTGACTCACGTCTCGAGACGCAGAAAAGCGTGTCTGTGTGGGTTTCAGAAGTGAACTGCAGCGCAACTTCCACAGGATTTATTCAAGCTGTGTTAAATAATTGTGATAGGATCTAATCACCGTAATTGTGATAGGATCTAATTGATCTGTTTTGTTTCTTTTATTTTCTCAGCCACAATATGGCCCAGTCAACAGACAGAATGTCCCTGCAGATGGTATCCACCGTCAGTAACTCATCCTTGCTTCAGCCGGGCTTCTCTCTCCTGAATTTTGATGGGCATGTTTGCTTTTTTGGTCAGAAAGGATGGCCAAAGAGATCCTGCCCCACTGGTGTTTTCCTTCTCGATATAAAGCAGAATGAGCTCAAAATGAAACCTGTCTTCTTCTCCAAAGACTCATGTTACCTTCCCCCTCTCCGCTACCCTGCTCTTTGCTCGCTCAGAAATGGTGCAAGGGCTGATGAGTACCAGTACATCATCCATGGTGGTAAAACACCTAACAATGACCTTTCTGATAAGATTTACTTTATAAGTTTGGTTAGCAAAACTAGCAAGAAAATGACATTCCAATGCATTGAGAAGGACCTGGGTGGAGATGTGCCTGAAGCTAGATATGGGCATACAATTAACGTAGTTCACAGTCGAGGGAAAAGCATGAGTGTTCTCTTTGGAGGGAGGTCGTATACTCCTCTTGCACAGAGAACCACTGAAACATGGAACAGTGTAGTCGACTGTTTGCCATCTGTGTTTCTCATTGATTTTGAGTTTGGATGCTGTACATCATACATACTTCCAGAGCTTCAAGATGGACTTTCTTTCCACGTTTCAATTGCCAAAGATGATACAATCTACATCTTGGGAGGCCACTCACTTCAAAATAACACCAGGCCCCCCAACTTGTACAAGCTAAAAATTGATCTGCCCCTGGGCAGCCCGGCTGTGACCTGCACCATCCTGCCAGGGGGGATATCAGTGTCAAGTGCTATAGTGACCCAGATCAGTGACACTGAATTTGTCCTTGTTGGTGGCTACCTCTCAGACAGCCAGAAACGGCTGGCATGTAACACCGTAGTTCTGGAGGATAATAAGATAGAGATTGTTGAAAGCGTGGGCCCAGAGTGGACACCAGATATTAAACACTGCAGAATGTGGTTTGGCTGTGATATGGGTGAAGGGTCTGTTTTGCTGGGCATTCCAGGGGCCAACAAACAAATAATCCCAGATGCAAACTACTTCTACATTTTGAGATGCAAAGGAGCAGAAGAGGACAAGGAAGAAGTGATGACACAAACTTGCAGTCAGACATCAAGTGAAGACCCTGGAGACTCCACTCCATTTGAAGATTCGGAGGAGTTTTGTTTTAGTGCTGAAGCCAATAGCTTTGATGCTGACGATGCTGATACTTACAATGAAGATGATGAAGAAGATGAGTCAGAAACAGGCTACTGGATCACCTGCTGTGCCAGTTGCAATATTGACATCAACACCTGGGTCCCTTTCTATTCGACAGAGCTCAACAAGCCTGCAATGATCCTGTGCTCCAGTGGGGCTGGCCACTGGGTCCACGCACAGTGTATGGATCTCTCAGAGACCATGCTTCTACGTCTCTCAGAAGCAAATGTCAAGTATTTCTGCAACAAGCACATTGACCTTAATAGAGGGCTACAAACTCCCCAAAAGGTGGCGTGCCTGAAGAAGCCACCCATGAAACCATTGCGCAAAAAGAAACCCCTGAAGTTATCAACATCAGCGAAAAAGTCCTTCCTTCGGAGACTCTTTGAATAGGTTTACACTGCTGATTTGTATTCACCTGGGAGGAAATGAAATCACAGGCAAAGGCAACAATGGTTGAAGCAATGTGGGTTATTGGAGCTTGAAGAGATCTTCTTACTTCAGTTATCTCAATGTTTTTGTTACATTTCAAAGCACATGAAATTTTTTCTGTCTCTTATGTGTATTTTTGTAATACCCAGACAGGGACCCCATCTTGGAGAGCACTGTGCAAACACACAGCCAGACACTGGTAAACTGTGTGCTGAATTTTGTGCTATAACTGAATTTTATGCTAGAACTTACTCCCCAGTAAGTTTAATGGAATTGCTGGTAGGGTAAGACATTGTCCCATGTAGTCAGTGCTGTTACCATCTGTCCCTTAAGAACATTATATTGCCCATTTAAATTTTTTATCTTAGTCAGTAGTTCTAGAAATATTTGACCTAATTTATAGCTGCATTACTCTAGTTTTATGTTGGTGTAATGAAATAAAATGAGACTAATTATTCTGGTTTTAAACAAAAGTAGTGGTTTTAAGTCCCTTGTGTCAGAAATAATGAAATATTCAGATACTGAGGGTCAGTTTTCTTCAGGGACTTCCATTATGGAAGGCTTACATATGGAGAATTTAATTCTGGATAATTAATTTTTTATTTTGAGAGTTATGGAATGATTATATGTCAATTTTGGCTACAGTTGAGGAATATCATCCCACAGTAAAAATTAAATTGCTTTTTTTAAACTACTGTGTTCATCAACTGCTCTTTATGTTTGTATTTTTTTAAATTTAGTAAGATAATAAAGTTTATAATGAAAATTACTGCAGTTTTTTTCATTGATTCATGGGTAAATCAAATGCTGTAAATCCTAAAGTTTACAAAAAGACAGCAAACATGCTTGGGAGGTCCATATGAGGCCTGATGAGGGATCTAGCTTGACAGCCACCCCATGCTGAGCTCCCATTGACTTCAGAAAAAATTCCTTCTGATGAGCAGGACTTTTATCCAGGACTCCAGGTCCTTCACTGCCCATTTCTTTCTCAGCTTTCCCAGGGTGACTGTGTAGAGTATGAAAGCTTAGAAGTGCAAACTGTAGCTCAGAGGGATTCATTGAGCCAGTGGAGCATTGTGAGGGTAGGAACAAATGCAGTTGGCTTCTCAAAACATGAGGAGAAGATTGGATTCAGATTGGAAAGGACAGTGTCAAGGTTGAATAGCCCAAGAGTTTACTAAGATTTTTGTGGATTCTTTTATTGGCTATTTGTGAAGCCTCATCATTCTTGGCATTATTTTTTATTTTTGTTTCTGCTCTAAACAGCTTTTCAGAAAATCAATACCAGCAGCTCAACATTTGTGAGCCAACAATAATAGCTCAGTATTCACAGTCCAACTCTCATGCTGGATCCCTGAATAAAAAAGAAAAACAGGAGCAGCTGTCAGCTATTTGATCACTATGTGCAGACCCTGAGCAGCCACTCCTTTACAAAGCAATGTTTGGAGCACAGAATTCCTGTCAACACAGACGTGTCTGCACAGTACTCCCCTTAAAACCTTAGCACCCCAAGTGAACAGCAAAGAAGAGTAAAGGGCAACTGTACAAAGTTTTCTTTTACAAACTTTTCATGTGCTGAGGGAGCTTAAAGTTTGGATTGAGCTTCTAAAGGGGAAGTATATCACCCTGACTGCCCTCTCTACAGCCTGTATATGGGTATAAATTCATGGATTTCAATGCCAGCTTCCCTTTTCCTTTGTTATGTTAGTTTATGTAAGCTCAGAGTATGTAGTGCTGTATGTTTTTCCAAAGAGTAAGTTAATATCATGCAAAGTCCCTTCAAACTGATGTTATTTAATAGTCAATGTCCCCTTTTGAAGGTTAGTCATAGGTCTTAGAGAGCTGAATTGTCATTAAAATGTATCTTCATCATGCACTTATTTACATCAACCAAAAAAATCCACACCTACATTAAAGCCACATCATCTCAGCACCTACATAAAGGGACAATATACTCACACAAAAAACCTCCCCCCTTGCCATTTTGCAACAACAAAGGGATCCCCACAATTACTGGGCTGCCCATAATTATTGAGTTCCCTGGCAATACCCAGTCTGAGTTTTTGCCTGTTACCTCTCTCAGTTACTGTCATTACCTCAAGTTCCTTGGACAGCACACTGTATGACAAATTTGTCTGCTAGTGCAGACAAATAAAAAAAATGGAAATATTTTGTGATGGGAAAGCTCAACGCTGGCCTAGCAAAAGTGACATGTGGCCTGGGATAAAGCCTTGTGGCTCAGGCGCTGGTGGTGTGGTTGCAGCATGCTGGGAGCAACTCTGAATTTCCAGAACTGACTCCTGCAGCTGCAGTGACTCCCTGAATCCCTGGGAGCACAAGCACACATTGTGGTTCTTACCTGAGCTGTTGTTCCTTACTTAACACTGTGGCTATGAAAAAAGCAATTCACAGTCAGACTTTATGTTATACCTCACTGGGCCCATAACATAAGTGTACTGTGTATTTGAGCTGTTTTTTTTTAAATGTATGGTTTATTTGAGTAGGAGGGGAAAATTGCTTGGTTAAAGCATGTCCCAGCTTCACAGTGAAAGGCTGTACCAGCAGCATTAAATCACATCTCAGAGGCTGTAGCTACTGCAGGAGAAAGAAGTTGTAAGTAAAACAGAAAATATTTGAAAGGACTTGAACATAAAGAGATACACAAACTTCAGCCTGTGAAGAAGACACTTGACACAGCACTCAAGACTGCAGAAAGCACCTAATTTCCTGAGCCAGGTACTCCAAAAGCATTCATTGTCTTCAAAACCAGCTAATCAATACAAGATGTTTCTTGCTCAGGCAGGTTAGAATTAACAGATAAGATGAAGTAGATTTAAGTGCAGAAGTAAATCTCTATTGTATCTGCATCCAATTGACCTGTGTGTTTTGTAATTGCAGTAAGCAGCATCATGGTTCCCAGACACATTTTAGTAACACTGTATTGCTATTATCAGCTTCTATGAGAAGAGTATATGGACTTTACTGCTATTGAAAGGTGCTTGGACCTTGAAGTACCTGATTAATTTACAGGAAAAGCACAGCACAAACTTTACTGGTAGCACTAAAGCATGTGTTGTCGTTCAGAGTGACTCATTGCACCAATGGACCTTTGAAAGGAGTGGAAATAATGCAAGTGGGAGCCAAAAGCAGAAGGAAAATATTGAATTCAGATTGAAAAGGAATTTGTTATTTACTGCTGAACCCTATGTAATAAAGACAGAAGGACTGGCTTACTTCTTTTTCATGATTGGTGACTTCAGTTCCCTCTGTATTTTATTTCCTACCCTATTCCATTTCAAACATGACTAACTTTTGGGAAAGGCTTGAGCCTTTGAAAATCAAACTCCAATTTGTTGTCTCTACATTGAAAACTGTGGCACTGTGGAGCACATTTTTGCTTTGGAAAAAAGGCAAGAGAATAACCTCATAAACTCTGCAGTTTCTCAATACATAAACATGTACAGGAACAACTGGGCTCTGGCCATTCCACAGATGTGCAGGACACCTTTGTAGAGATGGTGGTTACTTGTCCACTTGCTCAGAATGCCCATCTCCAGAGGAGGAGTATTAAAAATGCACCTCTTGACCTCTCTCCTGATGCTGCTAGAAAAGCTGCTAATTAAATCGTCTCTAATGTTTCTTTTTGTATCATGGACAATATTAAGCTTGATGAAAAAGGTACAAAAGCTCCTTAAATACTTAAGGAAACAGTACCTGTAGCTGGTCAGCTGCTTGACAATCACACCATATTCAGTCCCCTAAAGAAGCACTCTGAGGAGGTGTGACAGACCTCATTATTCTTCATCTTATCTCCACAGGACTACATGGCAAGTAAAATTCAGTCAGTTATTACAGATTTAGGAGTTAAGGAGTTACATCATCCTCATTTACCAGAAAACTGTCTGAGGCTTAGGTTTTTGCTTTATATGGGCTCTGATTTTTTCTATCCAACAATTTTTTTACTTGAGGCCAGATGGAAAAGCTAAGTTGGTGATATAAAGTACAGATATTAGATCTCTGGTTGTCTGATTACACAGGAAATCATGTAGCTTAATTTGCTTATCATTGGTTCCATTCAAACCAGTTGGTTCACATAAATCTCTTAACCTGTAGATATCATTGTAAGGAAGAAAGAAAGATTTTTCTGAAGTAGAATAAAGCTAAGCTACAAATAGTGGTAGATTGGAACTAATCTTTACAGCTTAACCTCTAATGAGGAGCCAAACTTTGATGCAAAAGATACTTAATGTATTAGCATGATGATAAAAGTGCAAGGCTGATTTTACATAAAATCTGGGATGGTATTTGTAAATTAACCAAAAGACATTTACAGACTAAATAAAACTGGTTTTATATCAGTTTATTTATATCAGTTTATTTAACTGTCAAAAAGCTGCCTGTGAGGAAGGGTGTTGAAAGGACTGCTGAGATTCACAGAGTAATCTTCATTTGTGTTAAATTAGTGACTTCCAGAAGAGGGCTGGAATTACAGCTGCCTCTGGGTATTAGAACACCCTAACTGTGAAAAGCTTCCACAATTTAAATGAAAACTAAGACTACCACTAGGAAATTATGTGCATCATTGAAAAACTGTGAGAAATAAAAAGTCAGAAACTTAAATATTTATAAGGCTTTTATTTTAAAGTGGTTTAATGAAATAAGAAACTGTAATACAGTAAGAAAAGGTAAAATTATAAAGCCATGCAGTGAAACAAAGCAAACAACTCAGTGTAGTCAGAAATTAAGATCTTGTAAATATCTGAAGTTTGTTTCTGAGCTACCTGATTAAAAATCAAAGCTAATTTGTGTAAAGACAATATAATTATTCCTGTGAGGAAGAAAAACATGTGGTAGCAGAATTGTGGCTTCTAACATAGTTCATATAATTTATGGCAATTCACAATACCAAACCCTGGAAGAAAACAAAACCAAACAAAACCAAGCAAAACAAGTTACATAAT